ACATGGCACCTGAAATTCTGCAAAAGTTTTTATAGTCGTTTCCAACCAGAGGTTTGGGAAGCAAGCGAGAGCTTATTAGCTAATGAGGTAATTTTAAATCTCCAGCAGAAATGACGATAACTCCATGCTCAGGAATAATTACGCGACGGCTGCACGAATTCTCGTAATCTCCAAAAATTCAAGTTCCCTGTCTCGTAATAAAACCTCGACTGTTATAAACAAAAAAAACAATAAATGTGTTGAAAGCGTGAAAATCTCAAACGGTCACTGCAGCAGTTTACGGCTCATGAATTGTTCCAGTCCGCTTGGCTGTGAGTTACACAGCAACACTGGACAAGCTTTGTTAAGATAAGGCTCGTATATCGTTTATCAGAAGCAGCTACAGCATTTTATACAGTATACACAGTTGAAATACTTGTAAAATGTAAAAAAGGATTTTTGGTTTTTTCAAAACTGATACCAAAAGTATACTGAAACCGAATTTTAAAAAATATCTCGATAAAGAAGCGTAACGCTGAACAAAGTTAATCGGAGGAATGGGGGATGAAATAGATTGTCGACAATCAATCGCGCAACAAGCTATACCCCGTAATATAATATAGACCGCACTACTAATAGGCTGTGATGAGCCGAGTTATGTAGTTATACCGGGTGACCCGATTTGATGAAGCATGCCGGACGTTCGCTTCACTAACCGGATATACAACTCTTCAGATTTAGTCACAGATTTTTCAATAATTTTATATTGAAATATAATGAAATATGAGGTACGAAACTAAATTTATTTATCAGATTATAGTTTTCATTATTTGACAAATTCGAGTTTGGGAGCTAGCAGGGGTTAAAGATCGCATCGTAGTAAAGTCCAGAAGATTCGATTTTGTGTCCATCGGTGGCGTCGAGGGTCGAGGTCGGAAGGTCAGGTATCGTTCGCTATTTAGTACAGGACCTTGGTACTGTTCTTATCTCGAGCCGGGCGAAACGAGAATGTGAAGAGAGGGTAGAGAAAAAAATGGAAAGGGGTGTACGTTACACGCAACGTCGTGTGTTGGTGAGCGAAAGAGATGCAAGGGAAAGTTTCTCCGGCAAAAGTGGTCACGTACAGGCTTTGTCAGACGCCGCCAATCTCGTCGAACAATCTAGCCTCGAGGAATTCTACTTTCTTTATAGGCACGCTCCCCGTGCCTTTTTCCTTTCTCACTTTTGCTTCTTACCACGATTTTGCTTGCCAACCGATGAGACGCGCTCGTCTTCGATTCGTGCTCTTATTCACTTGTATGTACATCTGTTTATCTCAAATGTTCCTATTTCATGTATTAAATTCTACAATACGTGTCAGCTTTATTATAATTCTCTACCTTTTTTATATAATTTTTTAAATTTATTTATACACTATACCATGTGACATAAATTTGATCTTATAAGAAAGGTTTTATTTTAATTTTATGATTATGGAACGCTTTGTACATTATGCAGAGAGTCTTATCTATGAATTAAACCCCGGCTATGAACAATACGCATGAGCGTAGATACGTGCAATATTTTACGTTGTCGTGTTCCTGCAAAAAATCTGTAAAATTGTTACAAAATATGTAAAGCGTACTTGCAAACAGGAGTTACGCACGAACACATACGAGTGAGGATCACGCGATGTGAAGTATGCGCTTTGAAACTTGTTTTGTAAAGTCGAGTGTGGACAAGGAGAACTTTTCAGATGAATAATTACGTTATTTTGAAAACTGTCAAATTATATATAATTCTTACGATATGAAATATTAGTCTATTGAAAAATGTACAGAACAGGTGATGTTATACGTGTCTATGTTAGAAAAGTGATTTTTTTTATATTCCTCAAATAACAAAATTGTCTCATGATAATACGTAGCTATTTATTATTAGCATTATTCTTCCGACGTCTGATTTCTTTTCAATTATAGGAAATGGGTTTTTCTATGGTACATAAACTTTTAGGATTGACTGTATAGCCAATACATCCTTAAACTGGCCTACTTTTGCTACCTGTTAATTACATGGTCGCAAAGCATATTCGTTTACGTAAATTAAATTTCCAATACGCCTTGAAAATGAATGCAGGATGTTAATGAAAATAGGGATCTCTTTTCTAAAGGACTATAATAGCTACAATAATATAAATGCGCAGAAAAATAATTAAAGTAAAGAAGCATTACAAGTGCATTAAAAACTGTTATTTTATAGGAACAAAATCATAAATACACTTGAGTGTTCTTATTTATCTAAAATAAGTCACAGCTATTATCACATCTGCTTTGCACTTCATTGCGCATTGCCACATTTTTCTGAACACTCCATACGAAACGTTTCTCCTTCCTTTGTTCTCGCTTTCCTCGCGCCCGATAAAAGTTACAAACGTAATTTTGGACCCGATCCGAATCTAAACTGGCAGCGGTAGCGCGACGAGAATGCAGCTATCGGAGTTAACGTTCAACTTTAAATACTTCGCCGCGAGTATCACTTGAAAGATCTTATTAGTGAAAGGTCGTGCTAAAGTGCTGCTATTTAGTGAACCCATGCAATTTCGTGCACCCCGGAACGTACCTCCGGTCTCCAATTTAACGTAACGTCGCGTCGCATTGCAACTCAAAATTTTCACATAGTTCAATGCAACGATAGAACGTTCCTCCGTTCATTAAAATACGACAATTTCTTGAAACGTCAAATTGATATGACAAGAAATTGAGCTGAAATAGTAAATACCGTTAAAAATAAATTAATGAAAGCATCATATTTCATGCTAGAAGTATTTCGCTGACATCAAAGAACTGGCGTAATAATAAGTCCGCGTCTTGGAAGCGTGTATGTCTAAAAAGAAGATCATATTTTTCATCATAGGCAATGATATATTCTCACTCAAGATATACATCAGAAAAAGGCAATCTTTCAGGATTTAGATGAACGAATCAAGAAAAAGGAATTAATGTTTTAATTGTAAGACAGAATTTTCACGTTAAACCATTTGTAATAAAAAATCTAGAGCACAAACGTGTTGGAAACACTATAAATTACATAATTAGCTTCATGTTATTTGAAGATATAATTATAAGGGAAAATAAAAGTAGGTATTTTCTGTATGGAAAATATGAAGTAACATGTTGTTAATGTACGAGGCACAGGCTTTTAAATCGATACTGTTTCTTTCTAACATTTTTCGTTAACAAGGCAGCATCATTTCGCTAAGATTTTCCTGGAAAATTTCCACCTCGCGCCCTAAGAACCGCTGTTCTAGGAACATATACATGTACATGTAGAACGACCCGTCGCAGTGTAGCACAATTAAACTGCAGCTGCTACTGCTAGGCTGGCAGCCTCGTTTCTCGAAGCAATTTAACATCAAAGAATTCTCAGATGTGACCCCGTACACAAAGCATTTATCGCTTAATAAAAGAAACCAGTTCCAAAGGTGTGCATCAAGACTTTTGCCACTGAAAAACCAAGAAGAATCCGAGAGGAAATTTTATTTTACATATTTAATTACTTTATCAATAAGTAAAATGTTCAAAAACGTAAAAGCGAATATGAGTAATCAAAAAGTGATATTGACCCTGCTGATAAGTTGCACTATAACTTTACAACGAATAAGGACAATTAGATGAAATTACCGCGATTAGAAGTGGACAACCCTCCCCTTTAAACTCGTATTTGGTTCAATTCGATCCGACTTCCGGTTTCAGAGATATCATCGTGTAAAGGCATCCACAATTTTTAGCTGCCGCTATCACTGTCCTCCCTGCACGGCTCGGGCCTCCTTCTCGCACCTTGACCCAGTTACTGACCTGCCCCACTCCTTGCAGACGGCCAGACGGCGCCCGCGATGAGTTTCCAGGAAATAACCCTTTTATTCTAGGAATAGGAGTGGGGCTGTATCCCGCGCCGCGTAAATGTGGAAGCTTATATCTTCGGAACAGATTAAGATATCACGATAAAACAAAAACGTTTTTCCTCGTTTCGACTTCCCCTATCGACTGAATGGGTTTCCAATCCGAATTTCTATATCATTTTATCGTTAATTGTAAATTGTTAACTTATTTAGTATGTCAATAAAAATAAAAATTATAATCAGACCGATGTATGTCTATTTCCCAATCTATATTCTAATTTAGATTAAAAACGTGACAAACGATTTGAGAATATTTGTTAGAAAAACAGATCAAACTCTCTTACTCCCATCAGAGTCGGAGGATCCGTACTGAAACATCTACAATGGACTTGTTAAAGTGGCTTTGGTACGGTGGAACTCGGTAACTTCGTAGCAAGCACTATGACGAATGTTCCTGGACTTTGGTAAACGAGATTAGGACAAATCTGTGCGTGGGCCAAATTATTGTTCCTCTGCTCTCTATCGACAAGGCCGATCCAGTAACTAACTGTCGCAGCACGAATAAATTCAATTTGGCGAATCGACGCACGGCCTTTTATTAAACATATTCCAACTAAGGAATTTCATGGCAGTTTATCGGAACGTAAGAGCTTTCGGCGGAACACGCTCACGCGATGCATAGTTTGGAACTGCACTTAAACCGTGGCATGACTGTCAAGGGCAGGTGGGTCCCAGCAGTGAAATGCCTTTCAACTTTATGAATTTACTACTTGGTAGTTTGAACCAGCCGGTGTGTCTTTATATCTAGGCTCTGGAACATTGACATTTTTTCCAAACGCCAAAATTTTGGCTTTAATCGAATTTCACGTATGCGCACGGCGTAATGGGTATACATAAAACATTTTCTTCTTAAATATTACTTTGAGGAAGTTCAACTTTTGAAGTTGAAAACTTTGAGACTATCATGGGTCGTGGAGTATTTATAGCATTTATAAAAATGGAAAATGTACTCGATGTGCAAAAATACATGAAATATTGAATAAAAACAAAGTTTTATGCGCGGAAACAAAATCATCTTTGATAAATAGTTTAATTTTACATCGTAAAACGAATTTTACATATATTAAGAATATTTTATATTCTATTTCGATAAAACACTATAAATAACTTAAATATTTATTGTACAATCATACAATTTACATACATCTGCCGCATCTCAATCACAATTTTAAATACAGATGTTAGTACGTATATTACATAACAGGAATATACTTTCCCTAATTCAAACGTACTTCCCATACAAGTATTTTACGTCTGATTTACACTGATACATTAACGCACATGGTTGCATTAAATAAAAATTGTGCAAAACTAAAGAAGTACTAGTTCACCGCATTACTACGCGTTTCTTCAGAACAGACGCATACGAAAAATGAAACACGAAACTGTACTTAAAGTAAATCGATGCTCGAAATGTTATACGTTAATTATTTTAACAAATCATAACTCGTTTTTAATTTAAAAAGCGGAAGTTGCATATTCATTAAGCCGTATGTTTCTAATGCAAAAATAATTTGCACACGCAGTTTAACAAAAATTAGGCGTAAAGACTTAAAAACATTATAAGTCTATCAAAATATCATAAAATAAATTTCTACATCACAGAAGTTAAGCCGTGTTCATCGTATCGTTTGAGACATATGTAATGGCGTTAACATCAAATCGAACGCAGTGTCCTTAAAGTTGGCGCCGCGTAAATTCGCCTCTTGCAAATCGGATCCCGATAAGTCACAGCACTGAAACAAACGTAGAAATCTGAATAGATTCAGTCCGAAAAAATAAAGAGAATAAAATACTTATAAAAAACTTACCTCTAAATCCGCACCGGCTAAAACTGCTGACCTAAGAATACAGTTTCTTAAAATAGCATTTTTTAACGTTGCTACTCTAAGATTTACGGCAGCCATGATACTGCCCTCGAGGTTGGCACCTTTGAGATTGACACCTTCCATATTAGCGGGTACACCTGAGGGGTCCTCGAAATTACACGAATGAAGATTGGCAGCGGCTAAATTAGCACACAGCATTCTGACACGAATTAATTGAGCGCCTTGTAAATTTGCATGAGACAGATCTGCTCGTTCGAAGCAACAATCAGATAAATTTGATCCTGCCAAGCTGCAGCCGCGCATAATTGCGTACTGAAAATCACAATAAAGTAAATTAATTCAAATTTAGCTTTGAAAGTCCTAAAGTAGTTATAATCACCTTAAAATTGATATTCCTAAGATCTAACTTCGACAAGTCTGCGCCGACGAAATTGACGCCTTGAAATCTGAGTTTCGAAGTTGCTGATGTCGACATAATCGCTTTAAGTACATCCTTTCGTGTAAGAGACACCAAACCATTCCTTTGCAGTTCGTCTTCTTCTGCCATAGCGGTCAATATATCAATGGCACCCTCTATTCCATAAAACCGTGCTTCAGCCAAAACACCTAGAATATGTTAACGTCGTTTAAACAGCACGACAAACAAGATGATAAAACTGGAAGTAACAAAAGTACTAAAAATGTACCCGCTGTATTGACATTGGCATCAAGTATCATTTGTCCGAGTCTTAAATAATTCAACAACGGCTCAAAATACATAGGACTTCTATCAATCAAAAATGCACCATTTTTGTCTTGTCTGCTAGGTAAGATTCTCTGTTCCGTGCCTGTAGCGTCTGTAAACATTCTACATTTTCCTATTATAAGCGTGTACAAAGGTAATCGTTTATTTATAAGTTTCGTTTGTTAATGATAACAATTTCATATTTGCTCATTCGCTCACCTGGCCAACATGCTCATTGGTTCCTTTTTTGTCAACGTATCTCTCGTTGTGGTAAAATATTTCCCACCAACATTTAATGTGATCCATTCTGAAAATGTGTTTAATTGATTATGACTGCAGAGCTTATTTTTTGGAATGAAGTCTTCTCCACATGAAACATACAAAACATCATCATCCCTGGAAAAAGTCCATTCACACTGGGATTATATATACTATATGTATGGCTAATAGTTATATAAAAGAGTATATATTACCGAACTAAATTAATATCATCAATTTCTCCTCCTTGAGCATTAAATAGTCTTTTGGCAGTGATATTAAATTTTGAACTGGCTGCTGTTAGGAGTTCGTCAATTGATTTAGGTACCATAAATACCTAAAACAAAAAGATACAAAATTAGATATTTATGATTTATCCCTGAAATACATAGAATCCACGCATTACTATCTTTCAAATAATCACCTGAATAAATTTCGGTTGATAAACTTAATTGTTACATGAACAAAAAGAATAAAAATGTTAAAATAAAAAAATTACATATTCCTTTAAATAATCTAATAATCTCTATATAATATTCACTCTAGCAATACCACTTAATGTTTCATTATGTATCATAAATCTTTTTAAATATGAACATACTGAAAATTAAGGATTTGGAGATTATAAATTATCATTTTAATTAATCATTAATAAAACGTTTATTTACTATACTACTTCATATGTATAAGAATATTATACAGTTCTACTTAAAAGTATAAGAGTAATATGAAATATCCATTGCAAATAGATGTAATCTGAAGTACAATAACACATAAGAGAACTTAAAAAAATATGTCGTAAAGAAGTCTATTGAAAATGTAAAGCATTAAAGTATGAATAAAATTGTGACCACCTTGCCATTTGAAACGTTTGTTCCATTGACAAAAAGTGTTACTCTCTGCATAACTAGGTAGCTATAAAATTCTGTATATGTAATACAAAATATAGCACTATTTAGTCGGCTATATTTAGTAAAATAACAGTATCACAAACAAATTGCATTTGACTTTGACACTGAACTGATTGAACTGTCGCCATGTTAAAGACGACTGTAAAATCTAAGCTGAGTGCATACAAGTTTTGTAGATGCGTTTGATAAGGCCGTAAAATTTAATGCATCGTTGCGAAACGCCTTAAAATCCGATCTCTTTCAGTCATGCTGCATCTCATTGTTTCCACTCTATCTATGGTCAATTTCATGATCACGACGTCTCAATTTCGAATATTCAAAGAAACACAGAGAGAAAATAACTAAAATATGCTATTCTTAATTACGAATAACCATCGGCTTCAAAGAAATACATCAGGTATATAAATATATAATTAGTTAAATGTTCTTTTACATTATAAGCATAAGTTGTACCGAGGATATACTTAAAACAGAAGATTCGTAAACTTACATTCGTCCCTGTTTCTGCTTATTACTTTGCGGCATCTCCTTTTAAGTTCATCCGAACACATTTCTCGAAGTCTAGATAGTGAAATAGCTTATGTATGAATATCGTTCTGCAATCATTATGAAGGTAATTATAATTAATATTACCAGGACAAAATAATAATACAACTTTTATGTCAATTTATTATTTTATTTAATTTAAAGCAACACATGATATGATCGAGGTTCCTCTTATTAATTTCCCTTAGAATAACAAACACGGATTTGTGTAACATGTCAATTTATTACAAACAAAGTTAATACATTAATATGTACAACTACTCTGATACATTTTTAATATATTATTATATGTACATTACGCATAAGTAGTACGCACATACATTCATGACTCACATTCATATTATATGTATCTTTAATATAAAAGCTTCTTTTATATCAGTTTATAAATGTATATAATGCTGTTCATTCTTAAATAACTAATAAGAATGAAATATGAACGAAATATTGGATCATTTCAAAGAATACATGCACAGCCTAAAACAAGAAGCGATTCAATATATTCTATCACCATGGAAGATACTGTAATATCTACTGTGTAATATTCATCAGAACTAAGTCCTCTGTAGGACTTTAAGTTGTTAAGCTTTGGTCTAGCTTCTCCACGTTAATTTTTAGTTTCACATAAAAATAGCATGCCTTTTATAACATTTATATATAAGCGTACGCATACGTAATGCATACTTCAATATACTTGTCGTAGATTTATTATATATCGTTATAATCTGGTATAATATAAAACTTGTGATGGATGCCGTTCAGCATTACTTAATATCTAGCAACATTTGTTATATGTTAGAATTACAAAATGTAGTTATATAAAACCAATTTCATATTTAGTAATATGCAATGTTTTGTGAATATTGGGTCCATTTCGTTTCATCTTGTTGAGATAAAGACAGAGAGAACGTTGTATGAATCTATAATGTTTATTACGCGCGGTTTTAATTTAAAATTAATTAACTAAAATATGATATACATGTTANTGGCAATTTAGAAAAGAGTTTGAAGTTAGTTACACAGACACTACTGCAAAATTATTCCTTAAAATTATACTTCTACTTCTTCTCTAACAAATTCCCGCAAATTGATGCGTACTGAAAGATATTAGAAATTAGTCAATATACATGAAAGATTAACAAATGATTTTTCAGAGGGAAGATGAAGATATATAGCAGGAAGCTTTTGTACATGATACATAATCTACATGAAAAATGATCGCTTCACTGAAGCATTAGAAAAAATGGTTGCCTTTTCTTTACTAATAACAAAAAGGCTGAGTAAAAATGATACCAGTCTCAGCACCAACTATGTATCAACTACCATCATGATCAGTGTTACACTTTCAATTAGACGTTGAATTTGAGGAGCTCACAGGCCTCTGGTGATTTTCAAACTGGTGACGGGTGAGATGGCCCCAGAACTTCACTTTTAATTAAGAAACAAAGGAAAGATGAACGAAAAAGAATAGATTGAGCATGTAATGTAAATTGGACAACAGACGTCTTAATTGAAAGAGAAGAATGTGAAATGAAGTGTTATAGAAAAATGTATTTAAAAGTACATTTTCGTACAAGTGACTGACTAGAATACGAAGACAAAAAAAATAACACTGGATTCAGACTAAAACATATCAAATAAAATGCTAGGAAAGTTCGTACCAATCATCATTTGTAATGGGTATGATCAAAACCGTATTCTTTAAATTTTTATAAATTTAGACCCGTCACCAATGTTTCATGTTATTCAGTAACAAGTTTTGTCGTTTGATGTTTCCTGAATACTTTATAGTCAAGAAAATAAAAATCCTATTAACATGCAGATATTGTACTTGTAAAGATTTCCCAATATAAATATTTTGAACTGATCAAATGCTCTGGCAGTTAAACGCTTTGTTCTTAATATTTATGTTTCTTTTAAATATTAAACTATCAAATCATTTGTTCCATGGTGAAAGAATTACAATATTTTATAACTTCTGACAAAGTGAATATTCATGTAATAATGTTCTATTACATGCGTCGAATTGCATAAAAATCGGTACTCTTTAAGTATTGTCGTTTTAACAACAAATCAAATTTAATGATAATTTTACATCCGTAAACAACATGAAGCTAATTTATTATTGCTTAAATAGGCATAATATCCAGGTTGGCAGATTTTGTGCTATGTATATTATTTCGTTTAAATAAAACGAAAAAAAATAATTTGGTTTAACATTGGCATTTGTCAAGAAGTATCATCTGTGATAAGAAAGAATTGTCGTGACCCAAAGAAGACGCTGCCAAATCCATCGCGGTATTCTGCATGGTCCAAGGCTAACGATCGCACTGGCTATATGACGCATCCAATCGCGGATACCTCGCGGTGCGTGTCCCCCATTAACGTAGAGGACATAAGTAAAACCATCTTTACATTTACCGTGGATGTAATAATAATATGGTAAAAAACTATGTAAACGAAAATGGCACCTCTGATAAAACAGAATAGCTGGTGCATTGCTGGACAGTACATGCAGGAAAACCGCTTTTACGGAAGACCGTTCTGGAGCAGTGACGTGTGCTAACAACTGTTCCAACAATAATGAAGCAATCCCATTTCTTCTATACGCACGTCGGACGCCTAAACTAAGTATGTAACCCACTAAACAATCATTTCCTAAGCTTGAACATAAAATACCACGATCTTCTGTGTTCAGTTTGGCATAAGGCTTTATTTCGGCAACGATAAGTCCAATTATTACTCCACCATATACAATGCTAGGAAAGTTCGTACCAATCATCATTTGTAATGGGTATGATCAAAACCGTATTCTTTAAATTTTTATAAATTTAGACCCGTCACCAATGTTTCATGTTATTCAGTAACAAGTTTTGTCGTTTGATGTTTCCTGAATACTTTATAGTCAAGAAAATAAAAATCCTATTAACATGCAGATATTGTACTTGTAAAGATTTCCCAATATAAATATTTTGAACTGATCAAATGCTCTGGCAGTTAAACGCTTTGTTCTTAATATTTATGTTTCTTTTAAATATTAAACTATCAAATCATTTGTTCCATGGTGAAAGAATTACAATATTTTATAACTTCTGACAAAGTGAATATTCATGTAATAATGTTCTATTACATGCGTCGAATTGCATAAAAATCGGTACTCTTTAAGTATTGTCGTTTTAACAACAAATCAAATTTAATGATAATTTTACATCCGTAAACAACATGAAGCTAATTTATTATTGCTTAAATAGGCATAATATCCAGGTTGGCAGATTTTGTGCTATGTATATTATTTCGTTTAAATAAAACGAAAAAAAATAATTTGGTTTAACATTGGCATTTGTCAAGAAGTATCATCTGTGATAAGAAAGAATTGTCGTGACCCAAAGAAGACGCTGCCAAATCCATCGCGGTATTCTGCATGGTCCAAGGCTAACGATCGCACTGGCTATATGACGCATCCAATCGCGGATACCTCGCGGTGCGTGTCCCCCATTAACGTAGAGGACATAAGTAAAACCATCTTTACATTTACCGTGGATGTAATAATAATATGGTAAAAAACTATGTAAACGAAAATGGCACCTCTGATAAAACAGAATAGCTGGTGCATTGCTGGACAGTACATGCAGGAAAACCGCTTTTACGGAAGACCGTTCTGGAGCAGTGACGTGTGCTAACAACTGTTCCAACAATAATGAAGCAATCCCATTTCTTCTATACGCACGTCGGACGCCTAAACTAAGTATGTAACCCACTAAACAATCATTTCCTAAGCTTGAACATAAAATACCACGATCTTCTGTGTTCAGTTTGGCATAAGGCTTTATTTCGGCAACGATAAGTCCAATTATTACTCCACCATATACAGCTGCAAGTGCATAAAACCGTGAGGAACTTGTTATATCTTCATACCATGAATAAGGATAATCTATGACAAAATAAATAAATACTTTAATATACACGCAAGTATCAATAGTTTGTTGTCAATGTTAAAATGATTTATAAAACTAACACATGCTTAACTATGTTCAAAATTTCTCTCATAATTACTCATTATTCGAGGAAAAAGTGCAAAATACATTTACTAATTAATCCTTTGCGATCTTATTCTAGTTTAAATATATATAAATTTACAATACAGTTTTCAGTGTCCAAGGAAAATTAATGATAGAAGAACAACTAAACATAGTTTTAACAAAATTACAAGTGATGAATGTAACAGCAGAAAGGATTAATTACAGATGTAAACTAATTACAAATTATCCTTCAAATGATGTTATTTATAAAGTCCCAAATGTGTAGTTGAAAAGTTATGGAACATTACATACCGATGGGAAACCAATCTTGACAGAGTGCTCGTACCTCGTCCAAATCATCTGGACATAGGAAACGTAGCTGGACATCACCCAAAACGCACAGAGGTACAGTCGCTGGTATCACGGAGGTTTTTTGTTCATTAGACAAATTCCTTGTATTATTATCATCCGTATATTTATGTCTATTTTCCTGTGATACTTTGAAATCACTTGTATCGATTTCCGGTAAAATAAGATACCGATTAAAGGATACGGCCATCACGCCACGACTTTTCTATCATTTCATCAGTCATTTCTTGTACGATGTCAAGCATGTCACGTTGCATGTAAACGTTTGCTAGTAAACATATTGAGATCTGCAGACATTTTGTATCCCCTCTACGATCGCGTATTTCTATCTCTCACTTATTTCCTTCTACTCTCTCTGTCCAACCTACTCTTCTATCCCCGCTTCTAACATTACAAGATCGAACACAATGTCAAATTTGATTACGACGTGTTACAAAATACTTCTTTTATCTACACTTTGTGGAAGTCAATATCTCATTTTTTTATCATACGATAAAGGTAATAGAAATTAATATAAAAATCACCTTATCTGAAGAGTGCTGTTTCTTGATAGTATTTTAAACATGAGGTTCTGTAAAATTGTATAAAACTATGGCGTTCAACGTCAGCTGTTCGTTCATGACAAATCAGCTGTGTTTGGCGTTTGACGAGTGGGACAAACATTAGCAATAAATACTTATTTGTACGTACCTTTGCTATGTTATAGGTAGTCGAGTTACAATAAGCCTGATTATGTCAATGTATTTATATGAATATATAGAAAATATTGTGTGCAGGTATAGAAAACTAAGGACAAAGAATGGATGTAATAACGAGAGAGTTGCTTGTACCAGCAAAATATATAAAAGTGATAGATGAAAGAATTTGTTTAACTGTACACAGAAATTGGTTAACAAACTTTCTTAATGTGGGACCAATCTCGTTTATTAAACACGAGAGATTAAGCGATGATGAAATTGCGGCTCATCCTATACTTGAAGATTTGGGCCCAGATTGGATAAGAATATATGTTAGAGTATGTCAAATTGGAAATTAATCCTTTGCGATCTTATTCTAGTTTAAATATATATAAATTTACAATACAGTTTTCAGTGTCCAAGGAAAATTAATGATAGAAGAACAACTAAACATAGTTTTAACAAAATTACAAGTGATGAATGTAACAGCAGAAAGGATTAATTACAGATGTAAACTAATTACAAATTATCCTTCAAATGATGTTATTTATAAAGTCCCAAATGTGTAGTTGAAAAGTTATGGAACATTACATACCGATGGGAAACCAATCTTGACAGAGTGCTCGTACCTCGTCCAAATCATCTGGACATAGGAAACGTAGCTGGACATCACCCAAAACGCACAGAGGTACAGTCGCTGGTATCACGGAGGTTTTTTGTTCATTAGACAAATTCCTTGTATTATTATCATCCGTATATTTATGTCTATTTTCCTGTGATACTTTGAAATCACTTGTATCGATTTCCGGTAAAATAAGATACCGATTAAAGGATACGGCCATCACGCCACGACTTTTCTATCATTTCATCAGTCATTTCTTGTACGATGTCAAGCATGTCACGTTGCATGTAAACGTTTGCTAGTAAACATATTGAGATCTGCAGACATTTTGTATCCCCTCTACGATCGCGTATTTCTATCTCTCACTTATTTCCTTCTACTCTCTCTGTCCAACCTACTCTTCTATCCCCGCTTCTAACATTACAAGATCGAACACAATGTCAAATTTGATTACGACGTGTTACAAAATACTTCTTTTATCTACACTTTGTGGAAGTCAATATCTCATTTTTTTATCATACGATAAAGGTAATAGAAATTAATATAAAAATCACCTTATCTGAAGAGTGCTGTTTCTTGATAGTATTTTAAACATGAGGTTCTGTAAAATTGTATAAAACTATGGCGTTCAACGTCAGCTGTTCGTTCATGACAAATCAGCTGTGTTTGGCGTTTGACGAGTGGGACAAACATTAGCAATAAATACTTATTTGTACGTACCTTTGCTATGTTATAGGTAGTCGAGTTACAATAAGCCTGATTATGTCAATGTATTTATATGAATATATAGAAAATATTGTGTGCAGGTATAGAAAACTAAGGACAAAGAATGGATGTAATAACGAGAGAGTTGCTTGTACCAGCAAAATATATAAAAGTGATAGATGAAAGAATTTGTTTAACTGTACACAGAAATTGGTTAACAAACTTTCTTAATGTGGGACCAATCTCGTTTATTAAACACGAGAGATTAAGCGATGATGAAATTGCGGCTCATCCTATACTTGAAGATTTGGGCCCAGATTGGATAAGAATATATGTTAGAGTATGTCAAATTGGACGAACTGAGAGATACTTGTTATGATATAATTATATTTTATACAAATAACAATTGTCACGATTTGTAGATTTATGAAAAGCAACATAAATGGGCTGTCCCACTTCCAAGAGGGAGGAATATAAATGTTAATACTCATGCAGATCTGACTTTTACACAATTAATGCATTACGTAGCTGAAACTAATTATCGGAATTTATGGAAGGAGTGTTACAAAAAATATTACAGTACGTACGCCTGTGAACTATAATATATATTTGATTTTCTGTTATTTTTAAATATTACAATGATTTATGTACAGGTCCTTGGAATTGTATAGAATATAAAGAACAATATAATATAACTGCTAATGTAAGTGACACAGCAATAATGCAAGAAGTATTACAAAAAATGTATGGCTGTACTTTAGTGCAGCTGCAAAACGGATCAGTGATATCTGTATTGCCTGGTATATCGACTGAAGTGCATTGCAATCTTCTTCCCATATTATTTGCTATCGAAACTACGTCCGCTTTTCTGACTTTGCACGAACAGATCGCAGAATATTCTCTTCGCGAGTATGTACATACCGTACACGTTTACTTGGTTTCTGAATTAAGTTTCTTTTACTAATTAGTTTTGATCGAAGGTGTGTCATGTATAGTCCGGCTGCCTTAAGCATAAGTCATGGAAAACCATTATTTTTAATATACCAATTACTACAGTTATCCAGAGACTTGCATGATCGAGGTCTAGTGTTAGGTGAAATTACCCTAAGCGATATATTACTTATGGATGATTTTACTATTCAGGTTAATATCTAAACAATCTTTAAACATACCTCTTACCTAATTCAGTTTTGTTATTGAAAGTGTGACTACTTTCCCAGATTTTATTGTTAGGTATTACCGAAAATAAGCGACAATGTGTATATAAAACCTGAAAATGAACTGACTAAAATGTCCACTAGTCAAGAAGTCAGAGGAAGAAGTTTTAACGGATGCAAAAGAGGCTTCGACACATCGAATTCTACGTTTCATGGGAATTCTAAAATCGGCATGCATGAAAGCATAGAGAAATTGTGCGAAATGTGGGTGTATAACTGCATTAGCAATTTCGATTATTTGACTGCGTTGAATAATCTGGCTGGTAGACGATACGGTGATCCGGGTTGTCATCACGTAATGCCTTGGGTCACAGATTTTACGTCAAGGTGCGGTAGTAACTGGAGAGATCTGACAAAGTCTAAATTTCGCTTGAACAAAGGCGACAGACAATTAGACTTAACATTTGATTCGCAGTTGACTGAAGTACGTGTTTAAGGATGTTCACCAATTCAATTTTCAAACATCAGAATAATTTAACTGATCGTAGTGTTAATAATATTCTGGCAGGTGGGACATCATGTGTCAGATGTAATCTCGGAAATTACGTATTACGTTTATCTCTCTCGCCGTTATGATAAATCAGTTCTTTGTAAATATGTAAGACCGCAATGGGTTCCAGGAGAATATCCTGCTTCTATACAGAGATTACATGATTGGAGCCCAGACGAATGTATACCACAATTTTTTACTGATCCTAATGTTTTTAAGGTACGATAATAGTGAATTCTATTATTAATTGTAATACATGTAGTTATTTATAAATTGTAGTCTATCCACGAGGATTTACCAGATTTAGAAATTCCTGGGTGGGCTACATCTCCAGAAGATTTCATTGAAAGGCATCGAGAAGCCTTAGAAAGTTTTCACGTTTCTGAAAGATTACATCATTGGATAGATCTAACGTTTGGATACAAGTATATATCTGGATGATTTATTGCACTATCTATTATTGCCATTATGTCAATATTATTATCAATTCATTAATGTTATAGATTATCTGGGTCGGCGGCAGTGAAATCGAAAAATGTTTGTTTGCAACTTGTTGACAATCATACTAGTTTAACTAACTCCGGTATCGTTCAACTTTTTACACAACCGCATCCACAAAAAATTATTCCCTCGCCTTATTGGTGTAAGATTCCACCTCGCTTACGCTCATCTTTCTTAACTAATAAATATAGTACGTTTATTATAAGATTCGCTTAATTCGTACAACAATTATTTGATACTCTCATTCAATATGTATTAAACGATTACATGTTAAAAATTACAGAAACTGATCAATCTGGAAACAGGACTAGCGATGATGAAGGGCACAGTTCTGGATTCGAAGAAGAAGAATTAGCAGCATCAATTATAAATACATCGAAATCATCGCCTTTAGTTCTAAGTCGTTTATTGAGTCGTTCTCGGGGATCCCTACTTGCAGCAGATGACAGTACTAAACAAGATAAATCCTTAAGTCAAACAATAATCCTCCCAAAGGATTACAATCCTATTGCAGCTATTATGCACGTTGAAACTATGCATACATTTATAAATAAAGTAAGCTCACAAGTTTATAAACCGCAAATCGAGTTGCACGAGACATTCACGAATTATAAACAAATTGTGGCTAGTGGACGTATAAAGGAACAACAGATTCTCGGTTGCTTGATCGTGGAAATATTCTTGTCAAATAAATTTCGATCGACATGGAATGTCGAGAAAGTATCATTTGCAAAAAGATTCACCACGTGTTTAAACACGTTGAAAATGTCAGCTGATAGTTTACCCAAATGTGTGAGAAATACTGTTGCTTTGCTGCTTCAAGTTGATATTATACCGAACAGTTATAACATAAACAACACAGAGGTAAGGGCTATCTTAAATAAATTTCAGAAAACTTAAATATTTCATGTAAACAGGATATCTGCATTGTGATTTTCCAGACAATTGATACGCCTTTTCGTTATCCAACTATCACACATATGGGTTTACCTCCACCATCTGCTCATCAATTTCTGCAGCCTATACTGTCCGGTAGTTTATTTCCATTTTCTAAGTATTATAAACATTTGTACAATATTGTAGAAATGTTGCAAGAATACACTAGTTTGGTACGTGAACTGAATTTCGTGATGAAGTCTGAAGACGATATGGATTCTGTATTTAAAACGAAGACAAAGTTGCTTTGCAAAATTAGCGAATGCAAAGTTAAAGCGGTTGCGAGAGAATTGGAACATTTATTGTTCCACACTGGAATCGCTCGAGAAGCCTGTTTAGAACTGATAGTGCCACATGTACAGCAAATAATGGAAGAGCCTTACAGTTGTGTCCTGGCTGCTTGGTACTTATTTGATCCCATTGCTAAGTAAGTTACGACTTACAAATTATACAATCTTCTTAATATTATATTAACTATAAAATTCTCCTCAGAGCGCTTGGCCCCAAAGATACGGCACAAACGTTCCTTTTGCCTATTATGAAATTGTATGAAAATGGTTCCTTTATGGATAACTCCACACACAATGAGATACTTTCTTCTGCATTGACGGCAAAATTTAAAACTACACGTTTATACCACAGAAACTTTTTATTGAAACTTATGGTCAGATTGGGTGTGCGGCGATTTTTAGAGAATTTTATTACACCTCTTGTAGAAGCAGTTGGAGGATACAGAGATTACGTACAAGGATCTTCAAGTTGTAATCATAAAACAGGCAATCTCAAGTAAGAAGAAATATGTACATTTGTTTTATCTATCTATTATTCTAAAGGATTCCATAACAGAATTGTTTTCACAGAAGCTGTGATTTAAGTGGGACGTGTAATGAGGGAGAGGGAATTTTATCTCCTTTAGATGAAGATTTTTCTACGGGCTCAGAACATAATATTTCTTTATCTCCTGGACCAGCAACCGTAGACTATATACGCGATATGAATTCAATTGATAATGACGTTGAAAGTATGTGATCAAACATGGAATCATTGTCAAATATTAAGAAAATAATAAAATTAACTCGTTATTTTTTATTTCAGATGTATTCACTATGGAAACGGAAGAAAATTCCTGGGTGTCTGCAAATCCTAACGTAAAATATGATATTGATTTAAATATTGATTTAAGTTTAAATCTTAGTGACGAATTAAATGACGAAGGCAGTAAAATTTCGCCCCTCAAATCGATTAAGTCGCCAACCATTCCTATACCAAAAACGTCCAATTCTTTCAACAAGTCTCTAACCGAGTTCAGTAATATTGGGTGTAACGTTGGAAGTAAAACTTCTAACGATGAATTTATTTATGGTGGATTCGGACATTCCGCTAATACTTCTGAGGAAATTACTATTGGAGTAGAAGAACAAAATCCTGTAGTATTACAAACAGATAATATCAAATCTGAGTTTGTGACAGATGAAGATGTACAAACAGATCATGCTTATCAAAAAGCATCATCGAATGAATGTACGACTTCTGAAATGAGCGCTGAATCTATTATTTGGTTGTCTCATCGACTTGGTCCCGTTCTTACTGCACGATATCTATCTCGAAATCTGTTGAGGATGCTTACGTTGTGTTACACCGGGAAGGAAAACCTAACGATAATCAGCGATACTCTCTCATCGGTGGAAAGTATTACTTGCAATAAAAGAGTTTTAGTTGGTGATCGTAATGCCGCCAAAGTCTTGGAATGCCTCGCAGCTATCGCAGGTATTATTATTGGCAAGTGATTAAAAAGCTTTTCGCTGAAAAAGTAAATTAAATATTTGTCCAGGTTTATACGGGGAACAAATTATTGTTTTGCAATATTTTGCACACATGGTAGAACTTTTGGCCTTGTGCAAAAGGAAATTGACACAAAATTTAGAAGGAGGACTTATTTCGTGTTTGGCTCTCCTAAATCACATTACGCCGTACCTTAGCGATGTCGTATTAATGGATGTACTTCATGTATGATCTGCTTACAGTAAAAAGTTTCTTATTATCTGTTGTAATAAAATGTAATAACTTCTCTCTCTATGTACAGGAAACAATTGTGAAAACAATATTATATCCTACAGTTCGCATATTATCATCCACGAGATTTACTTTTCCCAACGGTGTAATTGCACGTACAATAATGGCAGAGAAATGCTTAGAAACGTTATTTATGTTCAGCTTACGTTTGGGAAGTGTTATTACAAAGAATCATCTGGCTGTACCTATTCAACGATTCTTCTTAGCATTCGATAAATCATTTAATCAAGACGTTATGGAAAATTTCAAAGACGAAGTTACTCCCAAGACGATAAGTGAGCATTTTACAAGGTAATATTCATGTGATATCATTGCTTTACCTTTGTAATGTTAAATGCACATAATATCATTTATGCAGAACAAAAACTTTAAATGAAGACAACAGAAATGCTATCGGGCATCAAACAAATTTCAACACAGATGTTGCCGATTCTTACTCTCCGCCAGTTACAGATAACATAGATACGTCTGATCTACAAACGAATAAAGTAATTAAAGATGATCGTTAATGAATTTTAAGGATGTATTAGCTATACAGTCAATCCCAAAAGTTTATGTACCTTAGAAAAACGCATTTTCTATAATTAAAAAGAAATCAGACGTCGGAAGAATAATGCTAATAATAAATAGCTACGTGCTAAAAAGTATAGAAGGAAATATCC